CCCCGCCCCGCCCCGCCCCGCACACACCCGCACCACACCGTCCCGACCCCGCCCCCGCGACCCGCGCGAATACACACCGCAACACACTTCACGACCGATATACGACTTTATATTCCCTGATTAATATCAAACTATCTACTTAAAAACGTAATAAACAATGTAATGAAAAAGTACAACACTTTCTAAATAAGAAAGTCGTATATGGTGTCGATTTCTCCTTTGTTTTTACCCTAACACATCCAGGACTAATAACTATAACTCACTATCTATCTATCTATCTATCTATCTATCCTATCTATATCTTACAACTCCTCCGTAGCACATGCATCTGTATCCTTAAAGTTACGAATATTTTGATTTAACTCTCACTGTAGTAATTTCCTGTGTACTAAAAAAATTGTTTTGTTACTCTTTTAGATTTCCTCCTCAAGTAGCAACCCCAAACACTTGGCTTATTTGAAGCACGCCGCGCTTGGTCAACCACTGCATGGGTTCCGTGTAGCGTGTTAATTGCAATAGTGTTGTCTCTGTCTGGCAGCGGGGGGCAGAACGGGAGCGACGGCCTCTCAGGCAGCTTCGCCCCTGTTCCTCCCGATATATCTTCATTAATTGACAAGTGAGTCACTGCGCTTTCTCTACTTGACAATAACTTCATTCAAACATAAGAATACATACATTTGAAAGCTCTGAAGATCACACTCATCTAGACATCTCATTCGATTATATCAAATTAAAACAAATACATTTAAATTATCGTCTTTTATTAGATCAGTGCTGCAAATCCAAATCGGTTACAACCGATACATTTTACGTAACGTATTCGATATGAAATATGTAATGAGTTAAAACTAATATTATTTTAAATTCCAGATATCAACAAAGAAAAGAACAGGAACGTAGGGAATGCACTATCCACGTATAAACGTGCCACGGTCCAAATATTTTATACCAAACTAAAGAACCATTTTGTATGGCCTCTCTTGTGTTCACTTCCGTATGTTTAAGAAGAAACTTTTTTTTAGTAAAAGTGTATAAATGTGTATAAAATTTATCTTAAAACTTGACCAGTAACATTTAAAATGTTAAACGACATAATTAGTAATCGTTGCCGAAAACTATTTTGTATTTTAATTTGGCAATCGCGATTCTTATCAGCATAGAATATAACAAGGCAATCGCACAGTAAGTAACACGTTTTTTACTTATGTTGGACCGTGGACAAAATATCAAAGAAAGATGCTGCGCTCAATATGAAAACAATTAAATGAAGACAAGGATTGATTTAAGGTTTAAAGTGAAGAAAATAACGATCAAGCAAAGCATAAAAGAAACCAAGCAAATAAGCCAAACATAGTATTTTACATTTTTTAAACTTTCTGTGCTAAGACAGACTTAATTGAATCTGAATGTCGTCTTTAAAAATTGTAAATATCTGAAGCAAATTAATCACAATTTCCAACAACAAAAACTAAACTACGTTATAGGTAACATCTAAAATGGCTTAATTATTTATCTGATGCCAGAAAAAAAAACCGCATCAATAATAATGTTAGAAAAATATTGTTATATAGAGTTATTTGATTATTGTGATTTATTTAAATGCTGTTAAACTGGAACAGTTTAGATTTTAATGTGTTCTACATGTGTACATATTAGATATACATTATATTTATGAAATTGTAACGGAGTAACATACTACTGGATGTTGTATCTTGTAATGTCATCGCAATGTATCTGAGAGATATCAACTAACCATCTCTCACTCCCATCAGTATAATGCCATCAAATAACTGAAGCAACCCAAGAATCATAAGACCAAAGGAAAAGACATAGAGGCGAAAAGAGTTCAGGAAGAAATTCTTAAGACAAGTTGCAAATAATGTATTAGAAAGAAATGTTATTTTAGTTGCTAAACATCAAGTCTAATGTATTTATTGAAATATATTTTAATTTTAATTCTCAAAAAAAACTAATCACCAAGATAAACATTTACTGGTATTTGCTCTATACAACTAAAAACTCAAGATTTGCTGAAAGACTCGCCATTAAATGGCCAACTATACGCAAAAATTTTAAATAAATTGTAAACATGCAAAATGTCCATGCGAAGTCCGCCCATACCTTCTTACATAAAAAATATAGCTCTAACTGTAACATTCTAGAATCGGCCAGGTTTCATATGTTTGTAGGGTGTTCTAGGATCATTTCGAAATCCGATAAACCAATTAAAAATACTAACAACCAACTCATATTTTGGAATTATAAGCTCAAATCTTGTATCTCTCAGATTTTGATAAAGGGTGTTCATTTTTAGTTTTATATAAATGTTATTCTTGCAGCAAATCTTGAAGCATTTTCAAAGTTTTATGTGCATCTGCTACAAATGTGCCGTTATTGTGCGCTGTGACGCGGCGCTGTTATGCTTCAGAGCTTACTAGGTTATATTATAATGTTATTTAAACATGTTAGGGCCTAAAGTACAGGCTTCTTATATTTTGTGATTAAAATAAATTTTGCTATTATGGTAAACTTCAAATTACATTACAATGATACACTCAATCCTACGGTGGAATTGGTAAGTTTCGTTAAGTTTCTACAAACTACAAGTTACCATTGATGGACCTCTTTTAAACGCTTGTCGACTTTGACGATACTTATAATTTCTGGTCGTCTGTGTCGCTTCACGTCTCGGATGCACGTAAAACTGTTCGTATTTAGTGAAATGAACTAGATGTAAGTACCTACATATAATTAAGACACGGCTGTTCCAAACCGCAAAAGATACATATCATTAAAATAGACTGCTAAATTTATAAGTGATTCGTAATTCTTTTTACTGTATTGTTGAATAATATAGTTAATTAGCTAATAATTATACACTATTGTATAAAAATCTTTCTATATACATGTTGTGTAATAATTAAATTATTATTAAATTTAGAACGGGGAACGGAAATAAACTGTGTGTTGTGCTATTTTATGTTTCATTTAGCCTTAACCTTATTTCATACTAGCTGTCGCTCGCGACTCTGCTACACTTTCTTCAGCTGTGCCAAATTTCATCAAGATCCGTTGAGCCGTTCAGGAGTAACCTTCTAACAAACATCCATCCCTCCATCCATCCATCTCAACTTTCGTATTTATAATATTAGGAAGAAGTAAGATTAGTTGTAAATATCATTTCAATAGTAATAATATTAATAACACTAGTATTGGTTGTTAACTTTGAAGCCTCAGGATGCCTTTACATCTATTTAACTGATAAAATGGAGTTGGAGTCTCTATGTATATATAAAAAAATAAAAGTTACATTTTACGAAAATGATGTACCTATCTTAGTTGCTTATAACGAAAATAATATTTCGTCCGTCTGGTCGCTCATTGTTAGCAGCGCCATCTCTGGAAAACTATAATAGTATTGACTTGAGCTATTGGGACAAGAATTAACTGACTTGCTTACTTTCAATTCAGATTTTTGTAATAGAATTTTATGGATAAACATAAATTATGTTATTTCAGTCGTTTTTGTCCAAAAAAAAATAATGATAAATAACCTGAGAAGTAGGTACCACAGCTTCTGCACGATACCATGAGAATCAAGACCGACAAATGAGACGTATTAAAAAATAATATATTTCAATATATTCAAAAAAAGACAATATTACGACATTACTACATCGTATTTTTCTTATTTATTGGCAGAAATATTTAGGAATTGATGTAATATAATCGATTTATTCTGACATGTGACTGGCGCTAGTGTGCTGTGTCGGTGCGACATCAGGCAGCTCTAGTAACTACATACTATAGTGATGTGAAATGAAATGAACTACAAAAAATACTACTCTGCTATACATGATTAAATCAATGAAAGTTGATGAGCTGCAGTTCAGAGCAAGGTTTGCATGAGTGAAGCAGATATGGGTAGTATTATTACTTGCATTTCGAGCTGCGAGTTGCGAGTCATCGGGCAGTATAAGATGTAAATCGTGATGTTTCTTTAAATGAGTAGCTTGCACATAATTGTTGATTTGTCTACGACTCCTCATCAAGTCACGCCCCTGAGTCTGTTTAAACATAAAGTTGTAGTCGTTTTAGCTGTCAATGCAGTCGTTGAGCAGTAGCTCTACGGTCCAAGTCTACGTGATTTGAACTATTGAACAAATACAGAACTAATTACACATGTTGGCATATAAAAAACAGACCAGTGAACGCCGATATACTGTAAGGATACGAGTGCCGCGAGCGCAGGATTGGTTACTCTGCCACTTATCAGCTGACTTGCGACTACTCGACTCGCATAATTATCGTTAAATCGCGTTCAGTTGCGATCTGTTCATTTAGTTGTTGAGCCACAGTTCAACTCTATGTGATCTGAACTTCTAAGCCGTCTCAGACCATATGTACACATGTCTACTTCGCATTTGCACGCATGACATGATTTATAGTATTGTGATAACGTGTTTTACTGTTGTGTATTCGTCTAATATTTTGTTAAAATAAATAATTAGCTAAACCGAAAATTATACGTTACATAATTAATTCAATAGTTCATTTAAAGTCTAAAATATTTTTGACAGCAGCGAATACACCCCACCATCAATCATTAATGAACTTTCATATCTGAATTGTTTTGGTTCCATTCACGTATATTGATTTACTGTAGCGAGTGACCTGTTTTTTCTTATTTGAAATGTGTTTCTCGTAAATAATTAATGGTATCGTTGTAAAAGGGCCGAAGTTATTTAACGAAAAGCTTGTTTGATTGAAGTCAGAACAAATGACTATCAAAATGTTAAATATAGTGTTGTTAAATTAGTGTGTGAAAATACAGCAAAAGAATTTTAATTTCGTTATGGTGTGCATGTTTCACAATGATGACACCTATTGAGGAGAAAAAAGATGAGAAAGTAAGTATATTAATGTCATTACAAATTTGTAAAACCAATACCATTTTTATCTCGATGGATACAAGTATTTTGTTAAAAAATACTATTGTATTCTTATATCATAATTCTAAATTTAATCTCGTATTGTTTTTGTTCTTAGAAAGTTTTCACAAATATCCAACATGTATATGATTCATGTTGGTAAATAATCTTCCAATAGTCTATAAATATTCATAATATTATTATTAAATGCAATGTAATACTTGACTGTTAGAAAGCAACAACTAATCACAAAAGCTTATAGACATATTGTGTAATACACTATGAAAAAATTATATAATCCTATAAAAGTAAACAGTTTTTTTTATTATTAATAGCATTGCAAATGTTTTAATGTCCCAATTAATAAATGAGTAAATGAGAAATAATCTGTATAAACGAAATAACAGTTTCTAAACCTGTGATGTAAACAAGAAGCACAAATATACTCCTGTCCAAGGATTTCTGATCTCCAAAACTGGATAAGTTAATTTTTCAATATATTCTATGAAGATTTAAATCTTCACTAATATTTTTAACTAGTATAGTGGGTTACATTATTTTTTATAAAAATGTTATTTTACTTACACAAACTTTGTAGTAACATATAATAGACACTTTCTTACTTTACTTATCTTCCTAGGTCCCCGTAGTGGGGTAGATGGTGTAGCACTCTTGCTCGAGCCACTCTAATATTCATGTAAACTCTGATATATCTTGCAATTAATTATTTTTAAATAATTTCTTTTATCCATAAATTATTAATGATGAACGATTTACAAAGTACTTAACATTTTACAGATGTACCATGGAACCCATGTAGACCGGGCATTCAAAGCATTGTAATATTTTTCTCACTTACAGAGGTTTCTGTCTATTTACAGTTTCTAACTTTTGGAGGTTGTCCATCTGCAACGGATAATAATTCTCGCTTATAGATTTCTTCATTATCCAGGTTTAACTGTATTTCAATAGTTTTCTGAAGATATGGTTAGGACTGATATGGTTTTACAATTATGAATTCAGTTTAGTTAAATTTCTTAATGTAAAATGTTGAGGTTTTCTGCTTTTCTATATAATACTAGCAGACCCGACAGACATTGTCCTGTCTACACGTCTTTAATTTGAAAATTTCAAACTTTTTTTAATAAGCTAATACATTCTGGACCATTTTGATGAAAATTATTTAAAAAAACATTGTCCAGCGGACAAAATTGTGAATCTAAACCATTCCCAGATCCCCTTGAACACACACAAAAAATTTCATCAAAATCGGTCCAGTCGTTTGAGAGAAGTTCAGTGACATACACACGCACAGAAGAATTACATATATAAAGATTAGTTGCCCTATAAAATATTTGGCTCTTCTAGCAAACTATATACATTTGCAATCTTGTTACACTTGACAGGAATGTAATTATACTTATACTAGTTTTCTCTGTATTGACTGGCACATAACTTAGTGAAATAAAAAGGTTTTTAGTTCTAACAGGACCCTAGGGATGAGGGTACCCAGTTAAGAACGAGTTGTAATCAACCTCCTTAATAGTCCATCTATCCAGAGCAATGTTCAAGAGACCCTCAGTTGTTACAAACAGGGACATTTTTTTATTTGGGTCATAATATCAAGAAAGATTTAGTGCTGCCATATTAAAAGGAACATAAGGTTGATTTTTGCCCGAATCCCACATGTTCCAGATTTTCAGAGTCCCGCGTTAATGACTCATTTGAAATTCAGTGGGCATCATGCTTAGCGTTAATGCATTCCTAAATCTAGGACTTTCTGTATTTCAAAAAAGTGATGATGTTTCGATATTTGCAGAGGCACATTTTACTACATAGTAATATACTTACTTGATTATTTCATTTTTACTAACAAAGAGCAATAAAAATATCAACATAATAAAAGGAGAACTTTAATACTTTGATGATTTTTGGAATAGGTCAGTAGTTATTTCGGAAACCGTTAGTGCTTGACCTTTGCGTCTATCTAGACCTCGCGGCTAAATCTCGAGAGTTCCGTTTATAACTTTTTCGCCATGAAGTGTACTGTATTTGTTTCTTTCGCTCATTGTAAAAAAAGGCTAATTATAACGTAGACGTAACAAGGAACAAGGAGATAATTGTATATTTGTTTCATGATGACGCTCTTTGATTCATACAATGTTTTCTGAATTGACAATGCGATATTGTGAGTAAAGTGGTGTTGTGTTGTGTGCGGCAGATCCGCATGGGCATGGTGCAGGTGTCAGACGGCAAGTCGCGGCCGCGGCCCGCGCGGCTCGTCCTCACCATGGATGCGGTGACGGTGCAGCGCCCAGCGCCCGCGCCCGCCCCGCCGCCCGACCGCACCGTGCCACACGCCAGGGTACGTGTCAGACTCCCACAGGGCAAATATAATTGCCACGGCGATTAAAAGCAAGAATAATTAGAAAAAAAAACTCAAAATTTTACCGGTATCGATAAACATAGTATTGAGTACATCGCCACCGACACATATCTGTAGCTAGAAATTGTATCATGGTATGGTTTTGTGCTACCTCAGGAGCGCATGGTGCAGATCACGCGGCAAAAGGTGGGGGGCCTGGGGCTGAGCATCAAGGGTGGCGCGGAGCACAAGCTGCCCATACTCATCTCTAAGATATACAAGGACCAGGCCGCAGACCAAACGGGACAGCTGTTCGTCGGCGATGCTGTCATTAAAGGTATCTACATTGGCCGCAATCTGTTTCTTAAGTAAGCAAAACAAAATGTTAATGTCCTAACAACTAATTAGTTTACTCTGCCGCCACGCACCGTGTCTCACGTGTCACACGCAGTGATATCAAATAACATAAGTACTTAACCTACTGACTAACAGACTTTGTGCGGCTTAAACTGGTAAACCCGGTGTGACCCCTTTTAATATTGTATTCACATTGCATTTAATATAAACGTAACATAATCTACATAGCAAGTGAACCGCAAATGTTTGTTTCCTTTTTGTATATTTTGCAAATAAAACCTTTAGTCGAGATTTTTTTAATGAAAAAAATTATTGTGTGATGTAGAATTGGAGCGTGATCATTTTCTGTCTCCATTACAATTTCTTTTTAAGACAGTAACAATGTTATCTGACTTCCCTCTTCAGTACTATAACGTAATTCAGTTTATTTGTACAATTTATCATTTTTTTTTTGGAATTTTCATTTGGAAACATAATTTACTTTAATTGAAAGTGATCATCTACTTACTATTTCTTAGGAACAATTTTAATTTTAAGAGCGTGCAAGTAGTGCTTGACCTAATCCAATTAAATGTTAATTGAAATTGACTTTAAACGGATATCAGCATCGGGCCGACAGAATGTTGAAATTAAATTATCAAATGTTTCTCCTATTTAAATATAATTAGGTGATAATTACAAAAAATTAATGGTACTTTCAATCAAAATGCAAAAGGTATTTTAACAAACGCCTGCCGCTGTCGTGCCGCAAACAGTCACTCGACTTCAGTTTGCACGCAATACTGCGATACCTCGTACTGAATTAATTAATATGGTTATATTTAACTTTCTTTGTTCTAAAGAAAAACAATGTTTTGATGAAATTAAGATGTAGACGAGATAATGGTCCTTCGACCACTCAGCTACATATATTACAAAATGCAGTGATACAGCACAATGTTGAGACACGGCGGTTTATGAGTGCAATGTGTGCAATGTGTACAATGTGTGCGACGTGTGCAGTGAACGGGGAGTACATAACGGCGTGCAACCACGACGACGCCGTCAACATCCTGCGCAATGCCGGCGACATCGTCGTCCTCACCGTGAAGCACTACCGCGCCGCCACGCCCTTCCTGCAGAAACAAGGTGACGCGCGCTCCTCGCCGCCCCCACCCCACATACCTCACATTCACACCTACACTTTTACAGATAACACAAAACCGTTTTACGTGCCATTGCTCAAGTTGAAAAGTTTCGTTCAAGGTCGTTGTCTATAAAAATAATTGCAGCGGAGGCGGCGTCGGACACCGACAGCAGCACCGGCGACGAGCACCCCTCCCACCACAACCACCACAATCACCACGCGAATACTCTCGACGACAACTGCAACTCCGAGCGCGCCGCGGACGACGCCGGCTGGCAGGTCGCTTCTCTATTGCTAAAATATTCATTGAATAAATTCTATAAACTCAATTTACGCAAAACAGAATCACAAACATTTGTAATGGAAATAAATTAATTGTGTAATCAGAGTGCTTGGAGCGCGGAGGAGGGCAGTCGGCCAGCGTCCCGCCCTCCGTCCGCCGCCTCCGCGCACACGCCGCTCGCACACGCGCCCCACCCGCACACCGCGCAGCACAACGCGCAGGACGACACGCACTGGGTCGACGTCGTCTCTGGTGCGTCTGCTCTTCGAAATAACTTCAATGAGGGCTACGTAGCACCGGCTGGGGGCGGAGTCGCTGTCGTGCGCCATTCAACACTTGCACGGCAAACGCACCATATGATGCATTGATCAATAAAATTCTTCAAATATTCGGTTAACCACTTTGGCGGACCGCCGCTAAACTTACGCATCGAGAACCATGCATTGATTTTTTGATCGTGTGATACGATGCGTTTTCGGTTTCAGTTCCGTTAATGATGGCGTACGTCACCAGATACGTGCCGGGGACGGACAAGCTGAGGCCGGGAGCTTTCGAGGTGAGTCGGAACGACCTTTGATCTGTTTGAAAGAAAGAGATAATTGCATATGACGAGCACGTGCGGGGTGCGGGGTGGGGTGTGGGGTGTGCGCAGGTGCGGGGGGCGCGCGCGCACGTGACGACGGGCGTGGTGCACGCGGAGGACCCCGCCGCGCTCTCGCAGTGGCTCAAGAGCATCTCCGACAACATCGTGGGCCTCACCAACCTGCAGGTACGTCTGTGCGGAGGAGGGAGGGCACTGCGCACTCACCCACAGCAATGCGTGTCGCTGTGCAGATGAAGCTGTTCAACCGGCACCTGGCGGGCGGCGAGCGCATCGAGTACATGGGCTGGGTGCACGAGGGCGTGGTCAGCGCCGCGCAGCCCTGGCAGACCTACCGCCCCAAGTTCCTCCTCCTCAAGGGAACCGACGTCATGCTCTTCGACGTGCCCCCGGTGACTATACACATCACTTCCTTCCTAACCTACTAGGGAACAGGGAATAGATAATAGATGACGATGTAACATTTGTGTTCGCGTAGATGAACATAACGGAGCTGGCGAAGTGCCCGGAGACGCTGAAGGTGTACCAGACGATGTTCCGCACGGTGAAGGAGAGCGAGACGGTGGACTGGCGCCAGCACTGCTTCCTGGTGCAGGCCAGCGGCGCGGGGCCCGGCGCTGCGCCCGCCGGGCCGCGCTACTTCAGCGCCGACACGCGCCGCGACCTGCTGCGCGTCGAGGCCGCCTGGACCCACAACATCGTCAACTCCGTCGTGCGTCTCGGGGTACGTCAATATACTTCCCTAACGATACTTCCCCCTCTCTGCATCTTTATCGTACTCGTACGATAGTAATATTGCGTCGGACGAGTTCGGTGATGTGCATATCATGTCAATAAGGTAAAATAATAAAAACAACAATAAATTATATTTAATTTTATTTAGTCCTTATAATATTAAAAGTATACGTAGCATGGAGGGTAGAGGCGAGATGTATTGTCGTGTCACTGTTGTGGTGGCGAGGGTGGGGG